CGTTTACCAGAAGCCTTCCAGGGCCAACGATTCCGGGAATCAAATTTACAGGCCTTCGGGGACACGGCCGCTCTCCATCACCAACACCGACAACCGCATCATCGCCAATGCGCACCGGCTGCGTTGGGAGCCTCTCGTGGCCCTTGGAATCACTCCGGCCCAATGAGGCTTCAACCAGGGAAGGTCCATGTGGTCAAATGTCATCGACGTGGGGCACCGCGCAACGTTGGCCGTTCTGGAAGAGGACGCCGCAATTGTGCTGTTTGGCTTCACTTCCGCGTTCCCGTCGGTGTCCTTACGCTACCTTACGGCCATTGTGGGGGCCGCCAGCTTCCCGTCCCTTGCCATGGGCGTTCTGTCGTTGCATCGCCAATCTACGACCCGTGTCCTTTTGCTGCAAGGGTGCCTCCACGAACGAGTGGTTTTGGAAGCAGGCATCAGACTGAGGCGCCCACTGTCGCCCCTGCTGTTCGCTTTGGCGTCCGACAGACTATTGCGGGTTCTGGACCTCCGACACCCCCACGCGACAACCAGAGCGTTTGCCGACAACGTTGCCATGGTCCTTCGTTCGTGGCGCCGGGATCACCGGCGGGCGTTTGCCACTTTCAACGTTTTGGAAGTTGTGTCGAATCTTGCGCTGAACTTGGCCAAGACGGTGGTCATCCCGCTCTGGCACGGCGACGTCGACCAACTGCAATAGTCTACCACAGACGACCACTCCGCTATCCAGATCAGCTGGGCCACTACAGGCAAGCATTTGGGATTTTACGTGACCAGACAAAAGGCACAAATCGTGAGAGAAACCATTAGCCAAGCACACAGAACCATCACATTATGACGGCGTGCAACGCGTTCGTGTGACCGAACCTTTGATTTTTTCCAGGTCGAGCAGCCTGCGCAGTCTGTCTTGGATATGGAAGTGGCCGCGGTCCGCGCAATGGCGCCGGGGCCAGGTTTGACATGGAACCAACTAACACGAGAGTTGGCGGATGTGAGTTCCCGATCGGGCCAAGTGGTTATCCATGTACGTTGGCATGGCTCGCTGTACACATACCGGCCGTGGTGAAACACATTTTTTCTGCGCAGGCAGCGGCGGGGGTCCATATTCGCGCTGCTCGGGCTGTCCTTGGTGGCGTCGCGGTTGGCCCGCTCACGCGGCAAGCAGACCGACGTTTCAAGCGGGGGACGCAACGATGATTCATTGAGCGACAACTTCAACATGACAAATACTGCGCGGAGTGGCGTTTGCGAGTGAGGCTGGCGAGATGGCGGTCCCCAGATCTCCTGGGCCGGACGGCGCGGCGAGTCGCTTGCCAACTGGGTCGATTGCGCCGACTGGTACCGCCCAGGATTTGCGCGGTTACCTTGAGTACAATCGTCAATAGATGGAGAACAGACCGACGGATGCGAAATTCGCGGGATCGCCAGGGCCCGTGCGCATTCGGGCGCGGCGCGGTCGCGGCCGACTCAATCGAGCACTATGTCCGTCGCCCGGTGTGGATCCGGTGGCGGTTTTTGGCGCCTTGGGCAAGAGGTCGCGCGCCACGGCCTGCCCCACGGCATGTGGAGTGTCAATATGATTGATGCTGCTCTCTGCGTTAAGGCTGTCTCCACCCGTTGCCTGTGTCGCGCCGTCAGCATGGCGCGCGGGCGTGCCTTCCAAGACGCAGGCGCCCGGAGCGCACACACTCGGCAATGCCCGGACCAATCTCTACACGAGGCGCGCAGGGGGCACTCCGGACTTCGACGTGCATGCGGCGCGGCCGGCGGCAACTACCCGCGGCAGCGCGACCAGGAGGCTGATGACGCTCCGCGGCGACACCGGCGCCGGCTTCGATGAACTGCAACTCTCCGGGCTGCGGCGTGTCCCGACGGGGCAGTCGATTTTGCGCTCTCCCCCGCGCCCTTGCCGACGCCCCTCCCGTCGCCTTCCCCGACGGCTTTCCCGACGGCTTTCTAGGTGCCCTCCCAGACGTCCTTTCCCGTCACGTCCGCTCTCCGACATCCGACTTCCCAACCCTGTGGACTATTGCCTCCGCCGTTTGATCTTCAACCTCCAGCCCCCAGCATTCAGCGTCCCACCACGCTCCCGCATCCACCTATCGACCTGCCGCCTCCGCCCACTCGGCACCCCGACCTCAAGCCTACAACATCTGACGTCCCAGTCCCATCACGACCACGTCCACGGCCATCACGGCGACGGACGGGCGTCCACCCAGGAAGGGGGTGTTCCGTGACACAGTGGAGGTGTCCAGGATGAGGTGTTGCACCCGCCTTGCCCGCGAGCAGCCACCACGACCACGACCAGAAGCAGCCGCCGCGACCACGAACAGCGACGGCGACCACGATGGGGAACAGCCACCACGACCAGAAACAGCCACCACGACCACGCACAGCCACCACGAGCACGACCAGAAACAGGCACCACGACCACGAACAGCCACCACGACCACAACCAGAAACAGCCTGCACGACCAGAAACAGCCATCACGACCACGTCCATGACCATCGTGGCGACACACAAATGTCCAGGATGCGGGGTTGCACCCACAACGCCCTCGAGCAGCCACCACGACCACGACCAGAAACAGCCACCACGACCGCGAACAGCCACCACGACCACGACGAGGAACAGCCACCACGACCAGAAACAGCCACCTCGATCATGCACAGCCACCACGTCAACGACCAGAAACAGCCACCACGACAACGAACAGCCACCATGACCACAACAAGAACCAGCTACACGACTAGAAACAACCATCGCGACCACGTCCACGACCATCACGGCGACACGCCGGCGTCCACCCAGGAAGGGGATATTCCGTGACACATGGAAGTGTCCATGATTCCGTCCGACGCCTGCGCCATCTCCCATGTCATTGCCTGCACGGTTTCCGAATCTGTCGCCTGCGCCGACTCGGTCCGACGCATGCTCCGTCTGGCACAAATTCAAGCAGTGGCGAAGCGTCCTGGCTCGCCTATAGCCCCACCAAAGAATGTTCTAAGAACCTGTTGTGGTTTCCACGAAATGGTCTTAGAACATTTCTGGTTGAGATTGTCTTGTTTAAACAAATCGGGCTTATGTTCTAAGAACATTGATTTTTGTTGTTAGAACACGTTTGGGTTCTAGGGACATTTCGTGGTAGGATTATGGGAATGCCGGGACGGCCGGTCCCTGCTCAACAAAATGGATGGTGAACGGGAGATGTGCGCCACATTCCGGAGCATTGCTTAGGGGACCAGCACCGCGTCATGTTCAAGCTCTGAGGCTGGCCACGCTGTGAAGCCTCTCCCTCCTCCCCCCCTGGTTTCTTCCCGCTTTCTCGCGCCTGCTCGGCGTTCGCTCAATGTTTGTTCTACTTCGCGTGCCTTGCAGGCCTCCTCGTGGCCACTGTCACCCGACCCCGCCCGGCCCCTGTCACAAGGCGGCGGGCTTGGCTGGCAGTCGCCCCGAGGGACCTCAGGCCACTCCAGGGCGCCTTGGCGCCCCCACCCGTCTGAACCCCTTTATCTGCTTCTGCTGTGCAGGGTGCAATCCTCGCCAGCTGTAGGCCTGCCCGTCTGCTCCTTCTGTTCTCGCACGTGGGGCCTTCTGGCTGTGAGCGTGCTGTCCCTTTCCTCTTTCCCTCTTCTCTTCCCCTCTTCCGGCTCCTCTCTCCTCCTCTCTTCCTGCCTTGCTTCGCACAGCACTGTCTCAGTGCACTGGTGGCTCCAGCTCCCGACACATTACATCGTGCCGCGTTGGGTTTATGCGCGGCGGCTGATCCGGCTCAGGGGTACATGAACCCACGACTGTGGGTAGGCAGCGTGGGCGGACGCCTGACAGTTTTTATACATCTCTATTTCCCGTTTCCTTTTTCGTCTCTCTCTCTCTCTCTCTTCGTTTCTCCTCCTGCTCCCCCTCCTGGCTGCCGTTGTGTGGCCATGGAAAATCAAGCCTCTGGCTGGGGAGCCAGGCCTCTCTCTGGGTCAAGAAAAGCAGGAAGGGACGCGATGAAGGAGACGAACGGGACAAACATTCGGTGGCGAGCCCCGCGGGGGAAGCGAGGAGGGCCGGGCCTTCCCGGGAGGATCGAAAGCCCCTGGCCTTCAGAGGATTTTTTCCAGGCCTTCCCCGAAGACACGGGAAGCTTTTCGGAAGACGCGAGGGTTTCCGAGGAGTCCCTCCGCTTTCTGAGAGGGCCTTCTCATTCTCATCCCTCGCTCGCCGCCGAAACATGGACGCGTCGCCGCCTGCGAATCGAAACGGGATCGCGTGAGCGGAAGCCCCTCGCTCCGAGGATCAAGACAGATACCACTGGGCACACAGCACACACACACACGGAAGAGTCGAGCACCCGCCACCCGCACGGGGGGTCGCGGCTCCATGCCGCGCGCCCCGAAGTACCAGCTCATCCAGCTGCGCGAGCTCATGGCCAAGCTGGGCTCCTGTCGGCAGGGCGCCGAGCGCGCCGAGGCAGAGGTGGCGAGGAAGGCTCGGCGCTCCCTCCTGTGGGAGGGACGGGTACGGAGGGAGGAGGATGAGGAGGACGATGAGGAGGAGGAGGAGGAGGAGGAGAAGGAGGAGGAGGAGGAGGGGGAGGAGGAGGGGGGAAGTGTAGAAGGAGGAGGAGGCGGAGGCGGAGGCGGAGGAGGCGGAGCAACAGCAGGAGGAGCATGAGGGGAAGGAGCAGGAGCAGGAGGCTCGGGAGCGGCAGGATGCGCAGCAAGAGCAGGGTCGGAAGGAGAAGGAGGAGCAGCAGTTGCTGCAGGAGCACGTGGAGGAGGAGGAGCAGTCGCAGCAAGAGGAAGAGGGGGAGCAGGAGCAGGCGCAGGTGCTGGTGGCCGTCCCATCCCCACTGTCTTCTCCTCTGTATTGCATCGTCCTCCTCTTTTTCCGTAGCTGTTTGGGCTCAAGCCATTTTGGTTCAAACCATTTTGGCTCAAGAGCTCTTGCAAGCGTACTTTCGGGCGGCGCGTCTGCGCAGAGCCATGACCTGGCCGCGCCCGTGGTCTGAGGAGCCGCGCACCACCGAGGCCTTCAGGGCGAGACGGGCGGGCCTGCCGCCACCTTGCACGCGGGCGGTGCGGTGTTCGAGGTGGTTTCCCTCCTCTTTCTCTTTCTCTTTCTCCTCCTCCTCCTCCTCCTCCTCCTCCTCCTCCTACTCCTCCTCCTGTGTTTTTGGTTGCGACGCTGAAGATGCGATTCAACACTACTTACTTTGTGTACGGCTTCAACATCATGTGTGCCTGCCTCGCTCGTTTGCGCACGGTACGGTCCTGGAGAGGCTGGGCCCAGGAGGCGAGGACGCGTATGCAACGGAGGATATGAATGAGAGATTGTTATGGTCCACCACTCGACGATTGTGTTTGTCCTATTACATGTTCTTGGAGTTGAAGAACTCCCCCGGCGGTTGGTGCGGAAGCTACTCGGCCAACACCCAAACACGGCCTGCTGCTCTGGACCGATTCGACCTGGGAGGTAATGTCGCCAGAGCGACGGCAGTGGCCGCCCGCCTTGACACTCGAGCTGCGCATCGTGGACAGGATGCTTACACGGCTGAAGCCCCCAACCCTGCCGTCCACGACGGCCACGACTACAATGACATCTCCGACGCTGCCGTCGCGGACGGCCACGACAACATCGTCCTCATCGACACCGGCTCCACCGAGCCCCACGAAGCGGACTTCGGCCTCCCCAAGTCCGTCATCATCTGAGGACCTCGGCCCTCCACTGTGCCCCGCCGCGGGCGCTGCCGCCGAGGAGACCCCGCCCCCTGAGTCCACTGCTGCTCCTCCTCCTCCTCCTCCTTCTCCTCCTCCTTCTCCTCCTCCTCCTCCTCCTCCTCCTCCTCCTCCTCCTCCTCCTCCTCCTCCTCCTCTCATTCCTCCTCCTCCTCCTCCTCCTGGTCGGGATCGCCGACACCGACACCCTCATCCCCACCGGCGCTAGATGCAGCTTCGGGAAAAAACACAGTCAGGACGCCCTTCGAGATCGAAGGAGAACAGGCAGAAATATTCACACGTAGCGCGGCAGGAGAGCAGCAACGAGGCCCATCATCGGATGCAGGAGGCCGCGGACGCGCGGGTGGCCGAGACCCTCCTTCCTGATGAGCGCGTCTCCAGGGCCGCCGACGGGTGGAGCCTTCAGGGAGACTGCGAAGGCCCAGCTGCAGAAGAGCATGATCCCTTTGCTGATTTGGACGAGTACCTCGATAGTGTACCAGCAGGGGACATCCAAGAGCCGCTGGCACATGGCATCGAGCAGGTGGCCGAGCCAGTGCTGGAGAATGCGACGGTGGTAGAGCAGGTGGCCTCCCCGAAGCAGCAGCATCAGACCTGGCCCAAGGCGGAGTCCAAGCGAGTACAGGTGGCCTCCTTGACGAAGCTGGACGTGCCCAAGCTGATGGACCGACCTCGAGGTAGTCGTCATCGCGTCTCGGCGCTGTACGGCAACATCACAGAGTGGGGCACTAAGATCCACAAGTTCGTGGCGAGCCAGACGGAGTTTAACTTGTGCAGGTTCGTCGAAACTCATCTCAACGAAGAGCTTACCGCCGAGGTGCAGGCAGCGGTGAGGAAGGACGGTTGGAAGATGGTCGCCACGCCTGCCAGGGCGAGTGGGCGATCAGTGACAGGCACATCAGCAGGTGAGGCCATCCTGGCACGCACCCATGTGGCGACCTCCTCCTTCGAGTACCTCACCAAGTACCGCGCTAGCGGTGCAGCTAGCCCCTTTCACGGTTTCTCGGCCCTCGTCTGGCACCTGAAAGGGGGCAATGTGGTGATGATCTGCACCTACCTCGCTCCCAAGTTTGGGTTCACGACGGGGCCCAACGTGAAGACGCTGAGGGCGCTCGTCTCGTTCGTGAGGAGCTTGGCGGACCCGTACGTGATCGTGGGCGACTGGAACCATTCCCCATCGCAGATCGCGCAGGCCCGCATCCAGGAGTTCCCTCGGGGGGTGGTGCTGACCCCGCCTTGTGCCATCACATGCGACACAGGGCAGGGCTCCATGATCGATTTTGCGATCGTCAGCGAGGGCCTGAAGGACAGGGTGACCCTCACCCCAGTGCTCGCAGTGCCATGGGAGACCCATTGCGGCATCGCGGTTTCGTTCGAGAGGTCCGAGCAGCCGATCTGGCACAGGAAGTTGCGCCTGCCGGAGGAGCTGCCGCAAGTGGATAGGCCCAAGAAGAAAGCCGACCCCACGAGCAAGAGCTCCCTGCGACGAGAAGAAGCACGGCTAGCTCGGCGCGGCAGATTGGCTCCAGAGCTGCGGGAGGCTTTGGTCTGGCCCATCCTCCACCAGCGCCGAATGCACCTCAGGAGGACGGAGTCGAGTGCCGTGTCTCCGCTGAGGTGTGGACGCAGGCTAGATTGCTTGTGGGCGAGCCGCTTTCCTTTGCCGTGCCGCTAGCTGGCCTGGAGTTGGGAGGGCAATGGAGTTGCTCGTCGGTTTCTGCATGCGTCGCGGCCCGAGGCGACGCAGCGAGTCAACGATAGCTACGCTCGCTGGGTCGCTAGAGTGGAGGTTCCCATTCTGACGGCGTCCAAAGTTGAGGAGGCTGAATGGTGACCATTCCAGGGACGCGCCCAGGGGTTTTCCTTGCTCTGGCAGAACGCGAGGGCCTCACCAGGCCGAGCCCACCTTGTAAACGGCCCTGCTGGATGGTGGGCGATTTCCACCACGCTCCTCAAGAGGTGTGTCTGAATTTATAAGCAAAGATATGCGGGAGCTTGGCGGCACCACGATCGCTTGCTTATATGAGCTCAGCCTCCAGAGCGATGCTGATCTCCCAGCACGTGTCGAGGCTGCGGATAGACTCGCAGCTTGCGCGCACGCTCGCGGGATTGCCTCGTTTCGCCGTGCCTTTGAGTGCTGGGTGGCAGTGGAAAAAGAAGCCAGGCACCCTGCACCGACATGTTGAGCAAGATCCGCCTGCCCCCTTTCACCGAATTGCTTGACGACCTGGTCCAGGATCTAGCGTCCCAATTTTGGACCCAGGCTGCTTCTCATCATGGGGGTGAGGGGTTGGAGCTTGGGTGGGGGCGATCTTTTGGCGAGTCGCGAAGTTCGCAAGTTTTTGGCAAAGGAAGCCGATGATCTCATAGGCCTCCAGAATGCGGCTGTGTCAGGTAGACAGTTCACTCGAGAAAGACAGGCGGCCCTAGGATATGATGTAGCCACAATGTGTCCAAGGTGCCAGCAGGGCACAGAGACTCTCTTCCATCGAGTGTGGGAGTGCCCGTGCAATGTTGGTTTCGAGGAATTCGAGAAGAGTGGGTGTATCAGGCAGCAGGCCCAGGTGCAGTGGGAGAGTTGCCCCGTGCTGTGGCTTCGAGGAGTGCCGCCTAAGAGCTACACTCATCTCTCGGTTTTTCCTGGAGAAAACCTTCGGTCCCTGGGGCCGCTCCCGATTTCTGAGGTTGAGCCGCATCCCAACTTTGGGAGTGTGGTGGTTTTCGGAGACGGATCGGGGGGGGGGGGGGGGCACAGTGCGGACCCACGTAGGCGTAGGGTGTGGCGCGGCGGTGATCGCCATGCAGCCTGACGGCCAAGGGGGCTGGAGGCTTGCGTGGGGCTTTTCGACCCCTGTTGGGGGTCAGCGTCAAACGGTCACTCGGGCGGAGCTGCTCGCGTTTGCCATCGCGTTAGAGCGCGTCCCCGAGCGGTTTCTGTTTGTGACTGACTACGAGCCCCTCATGAAAGCATGGGGGCGGGGTCGGCAGTTCCAGAAGAATGGCGCGCATCAAGATTTGTGGTCTCGAATTCGGGTGGCCTTCCAGGCTCGGTCGTCGGAGGTGAACCTGACATGGGTCCCTTCCCATATGGGCGAAGCCACCTCTCTCAGCGATCCGATCGATCCCTACCTAATTCAGGGCAACGCCCTGGCCGATGAAGAGGCGGGGGCGGCGGCGGGGAGAGGGCGGGCGGTGTCGGTGGAAGGGGGTGAGCCTCAAACTGACCACTGGGATGCGATCGGCACCCTGGTTCGAGCGCGCGCGAGGCGCGCGTTGGCCCTGGCTGCGGAGGCCGACCCATGGAGTGGAGTACGGGCCACTGTGCTGCGGAGGGCCCCCCCCCTTCGAGGAGGCAGCTCGCGCTGCAGGCCTCCAGCCATCGCTTCGAGCAAGCCGAAGGCACCTGGAGGTGCAGTCAGTGCGATATCGTTGTGCCCGTGTCTCGTCTCATCGAAGCCGCCAAGACCCAGTGCCGAGGCCTCCCTGTCCAGGGAGTGGGGGCGGGTGTCGGGGGCTTGGCGGCTGGCAGGGATGTGCGCCCCTCCCATGCCGTCCAGCGGTGGGA